CTCTAGCATTTTTGTGACCACGGACCGAGTCTTTGCTAGATTTGGGATTCAACTGACACGACTTTAATGTGAAGAAATAACAAGATAGAAAGAGTCCGAGAGAAAACCAACACATGTACTTGTAGCTTTATCTCGAAATTGGATTCTTTTCTTTTCTTGACATGAGGACGCGAAAAAAATACCTGAGCAGCACTGCTGTAGTCTTTTGGAGGAGTATTAACATTTCTCAAGGATGTGTGCATACAACAACGCGAATCCATCTCTAATCACGGATGATGGATACGCGTCCAGGCTTCATTGTTTAGCAGTGGTTCATATCGTTAGCGGAGCACTACCAGAGTTTCTACGGTTTCACGAGCAGCGCGCAGCGATTCTCCCCTGGGGTTAACAGGCTCTACAAGACAGTTTCGTGGCCATCTTGTGGTCTGACTGATGTGCATAAAAGATATCTTGAAATTTGTGTAAGGACGAGCTATTATTTCGTTCGAAGTCAAGATCGAGCAAGGCCGGAAGCCGGACAAAACATTCAAGTAGGTAGTAATTCGTGATTTTTCGAATCTCGTGCGTACGGCTTGCGTATGTTTCCTTTTTTTTTTTCTCCCATCATTGGACTCTGTCGTCTGCCCCTCTGGCCCCTACCCTCCACTTCGACTAGTTAGACGACCCAACCGGGGTCACATAGTAGGAGGGGGGGGCTGGACCCCCTCCTGCGGTTCCTGCCTGAGGTATTTCTATCGCAAGAAGGGTACAGCAATCCCTTCCCTCGCGACTTACGAAGTCGATTATGGTTTACTAACAACGAGCTTCGCAACGCGTCGCTTTCATCCTAGACCAGGATTTATTTTGTGAGAAACAAACTCACGCTGCCGGGACTCGAACCCATGACCTGGCCCTTGGCAGACTGCGAGGTTACCCACAAGACCACCGGGGCGACCGGTTGTGTGTACAGCAGTATCGTATGATCACGTCAGGTTGGTTGACGAGCATTGGATCCGCCACAACCTACTCCACCGCGTGCCTTTTCCTGTCTCTTGTTATTTTCGGCCTGATCCCTTTTTGTCCTCGCTATTTTTCGTTTTGTTTTCTCATTCCTTGCTGTTTCCTTTTCCATTTTCCTCTTCTCAGTTTTCTTTTCTATTTTTCTGTGCCAGATGGCCTTGTCTCTGCTTGCGTTATGAAGTACCAAGATTGAACCACGGGGGTGTACCTCTTACTCTTCGGGCTGCGATGGTGACTCCTAGTCTCAGTTGTAGTCTCGCATAGCGCGCAGAGGGAGTGGAGGACTCCAGAATATCTGTCGTTGATTCCTAGTGACTTGCGAACCCCTCGCGGCCAGTTTATTTGAGTGTACCTTTAGGGTAAGTTCACCTGTGATCACTGGAATCGACCGAGTCGAGTGTTGGATCAGTGCGGACATACGAAGGTACTGGGTAGAGAGAGACCGGAACGGTTGTTTATGTGAAGAAGAAAAACAACAACCCAGAGAGGTCTGTCTTTGTTGTTGTACAAAGAATACTTCTGCAAACACTTGCTGTCTGTCGGGGTTGGCGTGCCTACAGACAGGGGAGCCACAACGGATTTTTCAAGTTTTCGGAACAACAGACACTATTATCCAAAGAGTGAGTTTTCATGGTACAGGGCGGGACCACACACACCCTACACACACACACACACACACACACACACACACACGACACCACCGCTCTCCCGCCCCCCACCAGTTATCCCGCTCAACGGTTACACCAAACACTCGGGGGGTACAGCAGTCAGTGCGGTTTCGTGAGATGCGAGATGCAACTGGTATTGTCATTGCGAGGTTGCGAGGGCATCTGAGGTGGTGGAATAGCCCGTCGGCTGTTTGAGAAACCCTTCGATGAATTCGACGCTTTCATTGATTATGAATTCGGGGTGGTCGGTGAAGAACATCGGGGTGGAGCCCGCAATTTATCACAGCAGGCTCATGGAGACAGATACTTATATTTTTATTGTCTTACTTCAAATCAGCGCTCACAGCACTGGTGCCGTTTACTCCAACCCGTGGTCACACAGAAGAGCCCCATCACTACCCTCCCCTCCTGCGGTACTTTGGCTTCGATTTTTGATGCGAGAAGCCCTGTGTACACACGAACTAGCGCTATACGCTAGGCCAGGAGCGGAAGCGAGCGAAAAACTCACTTTGCAAGAAAAGCTCGCTTACGCCAGGATTAGAACCCCTCACCTGACCTCTAGAAGGTTTCGGGGATACCAACTACACCACCGGGGCGACCGATATGGGTGTAGTCTGAATGAAATCATGCGCTGCTGCTGTGCGCGATGAAAGATTTTGCTGCTGGAAGTCAAACGACGGAGTATCCATCCTACCTTGCTCCAACCAACCCGAAAGCTAAATGTTGTGCAAAGGTTGCACTCTATCAGGAATGGGATCTAGGGAAGCAACACTAGGTTGTTGACGCGCCCCTCGCACCCGTCCATAGGGGATTGATGAAAAAAAGGGCGGCTGTTGTTAACATACGAATCAGCGCTCCCGGGCTGCGTGACCAGACAAGGAGAGAGACAGCCAGGTTCTTAGGTTTTCCTAATCTGTAGCAAATGTTTCGTCTTGATGAAAACCTATCGCATTTGTTCATTATGCGTGTTACTCCGCCTAGAGGAGGAGCGAGGGCTGTCTGTCTTCAACTAGATTAGCACTTCTACTTCTATCCCTTTTGCTGAGTCGGTCAGGACTTGGCCACCTACGCAGCAACCATATATAGCAGTCATACAGTACCATATTTAGGAGTAGTTTAGCCTTTCGTCTGCGTTATCTTTCCCTAGGATGGCGGGTACATGTACAGACTAAACTGCAACATGAGGAGGTTGTTGAAAGTCAGAACAGTTTTCTTGGCGCTGCGCGAAAGAAACCAACAAGCATTACAAAAAGAGAAAAGTAGACACATCTTTGAACCGTGCTCACGTGCATCACCCTGCCCTACCCGGTGGAGCAGCACCTCACCGGACGAACCGAGAAGGCAGGTTCAGTATCTACAAAGAGCTTTCAATTTTCATGACCAAGCAATCTACAAGTCAATTGTCGTGTGAACGTCTCTATGCAACGACAACAAGCGAACTCTCCGGACACAAAGTCAGATTCTTCACGTGGCGTTTCACCGAAGTTGTTACTGTGTAGGCAGGCACCTGAAAAGACTGGGTAGGGTCGGCATGCCGTGCCCAGTGACGCAAGAGTACCGAATCCCCAAAGGGCAGCACATGACGAAATGTCCTCGAGACCCGAAACTGGATCCAATCAGCTTGGTATGCGGACGTTACGATGTCTACATATCTCGCTCTCAGTTGTCCATGGGAACGAACCTCCCTCGCAGTTTGAACAACGATTCCGAAATTGTGACATTTTTCGGCCTTCGGGAAACATATCCGATTCAAATTCTGGGAAATGGTTTTTGCTTGCCCCCAACGCACGCATGCGGGTGATCAAAGAATGTGATGCTGGGTACTTCAAAGATCGAGCTCGTGTACTAACGTCAGGCAGAGCCATCGCTGCCGCTATACATAGATCGACCTCTCACGTTTTGCCGCCCGGGTCAATGGCTGTGGCATGAAAGCAAGACGCCGAGTGTCGGAGATTGTTTTTCACAGAACAGACAACCTTTCCGACATGTCGAATTCCGGCGCGTGATACTTCCGGCTATGATCTTCTATTGTGTACGAGGGGGCAGCAGGAGGCAGGTGGAGCTTGCTCACCTTCGAAGTGGCCGTCAATGCGCAAGAGGTTCTGGAATTCCACGCGGCCCTGCACCACGAGAGTCTCTCCGATCACATTGTCCGGTGTCTGCGTGGTGATGTTGGTGGTGTCGCTGCTCTTGTTTCCCGGCGTAGATGCCGTGGATTGCGGGGCGCTGGTGGCCGGAATGGGAACAGCCACAGGTGTAGGCTCCTGTCATACAACAATGACACAGAAAAACAGAGGGGGATGGCAGGTCGAGCTTTGGGCGAATGTTCTCAAACGCGGACAACCACAACCAGGAGCAATAGCCCGGCTTCGTCCCAAGCCAAACTATGGGCGCGGCTCCCCTTATGCCCGTCGGCTCGTGGCTGCTTGCCAAGCAATCCGCCAAAAATGATGCACACACCGTTTCTCCCTCCTGTTTGGGGACCTAATACGCATCCTTTGTTGATGTGTGATTCGAATCTCCCGGTCTCTCTTTCGTGTTGTTCTTACCGGCGACGCTTGGAAGGCGTCCGAAGCCCTCTTCGACGAAGCCGGCTGCGGCGGCCGCCCCACGTCCTGCTGGCTTGCCTGCTGGAAGTCTCCGCGCTCGCTTTCCCTTCTGCTGCGAAAGGCAGAGCAAGGAGCGCGCTTGGACCCACCGAATTCGAAAGGAGTGCCTGCAGCATGTCCTCTCTCTCGAGCACGACAGACAGGTCTCATATTCATGATATACTCCGGAATTGTGAGGACCACGCGTGTTCATGCTGAGCGAAGCCATCCTTCGACTACCGACACCCTGACACCAACCGACAACCCTTCTCTAGCGGTGCTGGTAACCAGCCAGCGCAGATGGCAGGCCGCTTTCCGCTGTTCTCCGCCCTCTTTCTCTTCCCTGTCTCCAGTAACGAATCGTGCCTCTCTCAAAATCAGTTCCGTAATTTTTTTGCCCGAAAAGCGAGAGATACGCTTGCCCACCACCTACCTGCGGAATTTCATCATCGGGCAAGACGTCGGGTCACTCGTTACTCCTTGGGGATGCAATGAAGGGGGATGGTGACGAAAGCCGAGCAGGAGCGAAAGAGAGAGAACGAGCCAGAAGAGGTGTGTGAGCTATTTGAATGGTTGAAGGCCCCGAAGCAAAAGCAGACCAACTCGCTCCGTCTATCTCTCTCAACGACCATATATATATTCAGTGCGGCTCAAAGAGCCAGATATGGGGGCTCCGCGAAATACTTACGGTACGAACATAAAGGTTCGTCCCCGTTCCCCACCGCACATGCCACATGCCATTCACGCACCACATCTCCGCGCGGTGCATAGGTGTATGCTTGCTCTCTCGCTCTCCTTCCACAATCATCACGCACATACCAGTTACGCGCGCTCTGTTTGTCCCCCTCTCTCTCCCTAAAAGCTTGCCTCTTCCGGTGTCTCTGCTGGACGCGGATGAGGTTGGCGCGCTAAATGGTTCGAGCACAAATCGCTTCAACCCGGGGCGCTCCCCCCGCAGCCGCCCGATGTACCTCATGGGCACCGTCTAGATTAGCGCGGGTTACCAACAGAATGTTGCCACCGCCATCGCCTCGCTTGAAGCGGAATGTCCGCTGCAGGAGTCTCCAACAGGAGATGTCTGTCACGGCCATCCACGGTGAGAAAGACGTTACGAAGGGAGAAGCCTGCTCCAAGTTGCCGCTGATAGTGCAAATACGTCAACGCAATCGACGGCGGAGCAAGCTCATCCAAACGCTCAAGGTGGGTTCCACATGTGTTCTCAGGTGTCATCGCTTAGATATGTTACTGCTGTAGAGACGTAGAGACGCTCAAAGTAGTATAAAGCTTCCAACGGGCATCTTTTCATGCTGCGGTGGCAACAGCGTAGGCGGTTGGCCTGTACATTCCTACAGGCAGCGAGAGAACATGCACCGTGAGGTGTGTGTTGCACTTCATGTACCGTGGGTCCAAAGCCAATCGTCAAGAGGTGTTGAACACGCTACGTATGTATGCCAGTACGTTAGCGTACTGATCCAGCACAGTTTCCGAATTGCACCAGGTTAATAATCTTATTCGCACACATTGCTGATTGCTGATGCCCAATGAGCAAGCACCGGAAAGCGGTGGAAATCTGCACAGCAGTAGGGACAGGACTGCTATTTAGTGTTCTCCAGCGGCAGGGGCGCACCAGTGTACGGCTTCAAACGCTGCATATGTAGGAGGCGAGTTGCTCCACGTTATGGTTGGAGGCTTGCAAGCAAGCCTTCTTTGCGTTCGCTTGCTCTCTTATGGGCAGGTCGAGTCAAGACGAGTGAAAAGGTACAGAAAAGAAACCAAACAGCTGCTTTGTTGGTGTTGCACTTTTTTCGTGGTACGCTCAACTACTGCCGCAGCTCGACGAATGAGAACCCGTTTGGTGAACGGTCCTGGAGTTCAAGTGCTCCAACCCAACTTTTATGTGTGTTCTCCGACATTCAGGGGCACACCGGTTTTAAAATTCTTCTCCAATAGCCACCTCGAGATGGATTATTACGGTGCGTGGGCACAGGATGCACGGTCGGCCCCGCGAGAGCATTGCTAGCCCCCGTATTTCAGTACTGCTCGCGAAATCACTGCCGTCTTGTGTGTCAACCTGATGCAGAGGATGATACCCAGCAGTAGCTGGCGGATCTTGCCACCGTTTGTCCTCCACACGTTGCTTGATAGTGCTCATTTCTAATGTTGCTGCTTGTGCGATGCTTCCACGACTTGTGGTTTTCTGTTGGGTTGGGGGCGTTCCTCGTCGACCAGTCCCAAGGAAGGAAAGGACAATGGAAGGAGGCTCTCACCGCAGCCAACCTTGCGAGAGATGACGGCGTGGTCTTCGACGTCTACACGTACTCCGTGCTGATGAGGTCTGTAACGTTGCTGAGATTCTTTTTCCTGCGTGCGCGGGAGATGTATACAGGTAGCCTGACCTGCCTACAGCAGTACATGTACGGCTTGAAGGTTGTTCGACTGGGTTATATTTGTCTTCTCCTTGTGAAGGTCTTGCGGAGGGTTGCCTGTTTTGTACGGCGCCTCCGGCGTTCATGCTTCGGGCTACATACACTAGGCCCGTCGTGAGCTATCATTGAATAATATGGTGCGGAAAGAATCGTGCCGTGTGTGTCTCTCGAGCTGCTACTGCCAAACGACCCACAAAAGACCCATAAAAGGTACGATTGCGTTACTTGAGATCATGGCCGTCACTGACTTTACGTTTCAGTCCCGAGGGAGGTGTCAGGCGTACTAACTGAGTCATGAGACCTAGCCAGCGTCGAGTAGATTGCGTAGCGTTTAGACTGGGGTCAAAAAAGCGATGGCAACGTTCAAGTTGGTCATGATTGTGTAGCCCCAAGTAGACCGAGAGCACAAAACAGCCGTTCTGGCATCTTGTAACGCTTCGTTTCTACCCCAATGGTGCACAGTGCTGTGGCGCGGAGCGGCCGGTGGGAGGAAGTCCTTGTTTTGTTGGATGTGATGCGATCGGAAGGCGTAGCACCGGATCATTTCGCGTTCGGCGCGGCTGTTAATGCCTGCGCGAAGGGCGGGCAGTGGGAGCGAGCGGTGGCGCTTCTGGATCAGGTAAGTTTGGGGCAGTGTCCGGGGCATTGTACCCACGGCCACCCACTTCAGTTGCGATAGCGAGGCTTGCCGATATGAACGACGACCGCCAGCTGAATTGCCCTGCAGTTGTGCCCTGTTTGGTTTCCTCGCTTCACGCGGATGGCGGTAGGACATTCGGCTGGTTCATGCTCAAAGACCTCCACGTACCACACAGGGTATGGCAAAATTGTCTCTCCATTTTCAGCTAGATGAGTTTTTGAGGAAAGCACACGCACGCATACCTAGGCCGGCCCCCCTCCCCTCTTCTCCCTCTCTCTCTCGTTAGATGCGTTCAGAAGGCCTGTCGCCGAACGTGGTCTGTTTCAACACCGCCGCGGATGCCTGCGCGCGGGCAGGCCAATGGGAGCGAGCGCTCCGCCTTCTCGGGGAAATGGCGGCGGTAGGGTTAAGCCCCAACGTTACCACGTTCAGTTCGGCGGTGGCGGCATGCGGGAACGCTGGACAGTGGGAACGGGCTCTGGACCTACTGGACCAGGTAAGGATACTTTCGCGTTAACCGGGGGGGGCTTCCTTTCGGCATTCGTATATTGACAAGTTTCGCCCGCAAAACGCCGCGGATTCGTATTGTTACGGAGGTGAAAGTGCAGAGCCAACCGACCATAATATTAGGCTGTGCTCAGGGTTTGTCAACGTTTCAATGGCCGAGCCCTTTAGGCATTCGTATATTGACAAGTTTCGCCCGCAAAACGCCGCGGATTCGTATTGTTACGGAGGTGAAAGTGCAGAGCCAACCGACCATAATAATAGGCTGTGCTCAGGGTTTTTCAACGTTTCAATGGCCGAGCCCTTAAGGCATTCGTATATTGACAAGTTTCGCCCGCAAAGCGCCGCGGATTCGTATTGTTACGGAGGTGAAAGTGCAGGGCCAACCGACTATTATAATAGGCTGTGCTCAGGGTTTTTCAACGTTTCAATGGCCGAGCCCTTAAGGCATTCGTATATTGACAAGTTTCGCCCGCAAAGCGCCGCGGATTCGTAATATTGCGGAGGCGCAAGTGCGAGAGCCATGCCACTTAGTTGTTCTCAGGGATTTTTTTTCATTGCTCCATGTTTTATGCATACAGCCGGGTGTTTGACTAGTTCAGGCCCTCGATTACTTCGCTCACGTCAGTGTCTTGAGGCTCATGGAACAAGCTCCCCGTCCCTTATCCCAACCGTCGGAATCGACCAACCCTCCTAGATGGCGGAGGAGGGGGTGCCGCCGAATGAATTCACCTTCAGCGCTGCCGTTTCTGCGTGCGGGAAAGCGGGGCAGTGGCGGCCAGCACTCACCATCTTGAGACGAATGAGGGCAGCAGATTGCCCTCCGAACGTCCAGACCTACACGGCGGCTATCGATGCGTGCGGAAAGGCGGGAGAGTGGCGGTTGGCCCAGGGTTTGCTGGCTGAGATGCGGGGGAAGGGCGTGGCGCCGAACGTGATAACGTTCAACTCGGCGATATCGGCGCTCGGGAACGGTGGGCAGTGGCAGGAGGCGTTGAATCTCTTGAGAGACATGCCGTCGATGGGCGTACAGCCGAACATGTGGAGCTACACCGCGGCGGTGACGGCCTGCGGAGATAACAACCGGTGGGCGAGAGCCCTGGCGGTACATGAGCAGGTCGGGGAGATGAGAGAGATAGCTGTCTCACGGCCGCCTATGTCTTGCTCTACATCCGACACGGGCAAGTCAGTAGGCACTGTTCGTTCTATATAAGGGTTTGCTACGAAATTCTAGGAGTACGAGCCCACGGTCAGGACCCATCCTGCCTGTTGTAGAGAAGGCACTCGAGAGTTCCCTTTTCCGGGGTAGTATAGTTTTTGCCCGTGATCCATGGCCCCAGGTGTGCAGAGTGGCTAAGATCATGATGCTCGTGGTAAATACGCACCCGAGTTGCGCAGTCGATCTTGTCGGCATATCGGCTCTGAACGTCGTTTCCTGGGTACCGAAGTATTGCCCCAGTCTCACCTAAAGTGCAGGCACGTGTCGAAAACGACTTTGTTTCGTGTGTGGGCACCATGTGTGAACGTGGGGTACTACCTTGCGAAATTGACGGGCCACCCCTCTGCGCTATGGAAATTCAACCAGAGCAATATGGGATAAGTATACAACTGATATGCTCAACACAATCATCTCGTTGCTGTTTACACGCTTTGTTTTCGTCGTGGACCCAACAAGCAAGCTGTCCAAACCAGCGGTATGCATAGCTTATTCGATTTTCTGATAAGTCCGCTAACGAGACCCACCCTCACTGCTGTCGAGCGGTTGTGCCGCCGAAAAGAATCGGACCCGCTACACTGCTGTGTGTGTTGAGAGGACGTGACCCTTCCGATGACTCTTTGATCCTCTGAAACTCAACAGATGCGTTCACGGGGCATAAGGGGTGACGAAGTGAGCTTCACGGCTGCGATAGACGCCTGTGCTCAAGGAGGGGCGTGGGAAATGGCGCTGGCTCTCCTAGACGAGATGAGGGACGAAGGAATTCCGCCAACCGTCAGAAGCTTTAGCACGGCGATATCGGCGTGCGGCAAGGGACAGCAGTGGGGACGCGCGGTGGCTCTGTTGCGAGAGATGGAGGAGGTTGGGGTTTCCCCCAACGAGGTGCGATTTGTTGATCGGCTTCATCGAGTCTTGACTCCTGAAGGTTGTGCTGCAAGGGCAACGTCATGTGGGCGTGTTTGTATGTCTCGCCAAGAACGACGTCTCGCCATACACGATTATTGCTTTCAATCGGCCAATATCGAATTGAATCCTGGAATACCCTCTCCTGTGACTGCAAAATCAAAAACACAACACAAGGACAGGGACGTATGAACATGTTGTTTTTCTTTTCGCCCTGCCTGTTGTCGAAAAATGGGGGTTTACGATCGGGGAGCTTGTTCGCTGAGCTCTTTTTGGAAATCGTACGGCCTGAAAATTTGCAGCGAGAACCAAGCAAGAGCGGCCGTTTGGTTTCTTGGGCTGAGGGCCGACGCATATTTCGGAATCGAATTCCCAGAACAAAGTCCGTTCGAACATGCAGAAGTGGTTCACCACGGGCGATAGTTTTGTCAGTTTTTTTTGCTAACGTGTTCTCTTTGCGGGAGTGCTATTGATGCATTTCCTTGGCATTGTTCTCATTTGGCACCGAACACCTGGGCACTTACAGTGGGTCCCTCCCCACACACACACGAAAAGTTGACGTAGACTACCAGGGTGTAACGATTTTTCTGTTCAATTTGTAGCACGGCGGGCGGCAGCATCTACACTACCGTGAACGTGGTTTTATTTTCGGAAAGGGACCATATTCGGGAGCAGCCCTTCATATCATTCTTGCGCGCTTTTGTTGACGATGCTTCGCCGCGATGCGCCACTTCCTGTAGGTTAGCTTCAACGCTGCGATTGACGCCTGCGGTAGGGCCGGCCAGTGGAGAGCCGCGCTCTCGCTATTGGACAAGATGTCCTCAGCGGGAGTGCCTCGCGGGACAATCACCTACAACGCCGTAATCGCTGCCTGCGGCAAAGGGAAGGAGTGGGCACGGGCCGTGTCACTGCTGCACGAGATGCTTGCAGGACAAGCCAAGACTGACGTAGACATGGCACCAGTGCCGATGGCAGACGTTGTCAGTTACAGCGCCGCTATAGACGCTTGCGTAAGGGCTGGAGAGTGGGAGGAGGCCATCTCATTGGTGGAGCTGCTACGGCGAGACCGGCGGCTGAATGTCGGCACTGAAGGCGTGAGGAATTATCATCCGGGGGCGCGCGGGCCAAAGCATTTGACGCTGACGCTAGAGCACTTGGAGTGGTTCGCCACAGCGTTTGATCGTTGTGACGATTCGATTTTGAGACGAAGGGCGCTGGAGCTTGTGGACGCCATACGCGTTGAGTCCGAGCACAAATAAAATGTAGACGGTTGTTTTGGGGGTCTTGAAAGATTGTGATTTTGCGCCCAGCGTGAGAAGCTAGCATTAGAGGAATACAAGGCCTACCAGGCCCTTCCAAGTTGGTGTTGACAGTTTCTCGACCTTCAAGGTTGTGTGCGTCCGGAGTCTCGTAGAAAATGTTTCCTTGAGAAGTCACTCCACGTCCAAGTTGAAGCACTGCGTGTCCACGAAGGAAGTGGGTGGAACACGGATAAGAAAGCTAACGATTCTGCATAAGAGGCGGCCATGATGCGGTGCAGCGCAGCAACAGATGGCGCGTTTTCGGTCGTCGACTACCAACGACGCAATGTTCAGACCGACGAGTAATAATGTCATATGTTACCGGTAAATTCAAAATCAATCGCGCGATTTTCGTTCCGCATAAGTGGTACAGTTACAGTCCACCGGGGCTACGAAAACTGCTGCGGTGATGCAGTGTACCAGCACGTGCATGGATGCTTGGGAAGCGGGAACAAAAGAAAATCACAGCTAGAGCACGAAAAGTCTTGCACCGCTTATAAGCGCGAATCTCCGGGATCAGATCAGGACCTTCCCCCCCTATCCATATCGATTTTGTTGGTTGGTTTCGCTGAATAGCATTCCTTCCCTCAACTCAACTATGTGGCTTACGTTATCTAAGCTAAGGAAATATCTAAGCTAGGAACTAAAGAAAGGGAAACCTGAAGATAAGGGTTATATTCACTGCAACTTACCCGAACCCGAAGATACGATACAAAGACGAAAAGTACACTCAAGTCCAACACGAAACGGTACACCACACTACCGTTATACACAACATTCGAGCACCGAAGCTCGCGGTTCGACAATCTTATCCTACTGTAGCACGTATATTCAATTCATTCTCTGTTGCTTGCTACAAACGTTCACCCCCTTGGTACGAAATTGTGACGCCACACATCCAACTCCATTGCGCGAACAAGACGTGCAAAGCACCGTTTAGCTCAATGATTGAGCTCTTGCTTGCGACAAAAACAACTCTCGTAGGTCTGACAAGAAGTAACACGACACGGTGTGGTTATGATCTACTCGAGAACACCCACCTATCACGCCACTACAGGCTCCGACCACAACTGGAACATGAAACTACCCGCCGTACTGCGTAATTTCACGGTATTCGATACACAACCCGATTGCACCCCACGCACGCTCTTGAGCTGTTATTTTCCGCCTCAGCTGCCCTGTGCCGTTATGAATCAAAGGGAACGGAAGGCAGCTACAGCAGGGCTTGACACAACGAGTCATGGACGTAATAAATAATGAATGAGATCTACGTCTTTCCCCGACAAAATGGCACTGGGGAACACAAACAACACGTGAAAAATACGGGCTCACTTCGCCGCATTAATCGATCGACATTATTCCAATTCGCCACATAAGGCCCGCAACATTCTATCTGGCAAGGTCACCATTTTAGTACACTGTAGATATCTGAAACATACTCCGTCGGGTCGTCGTCACAACACAGAAAATGCCTCGGTCTCCAAGTCCTCCGCGTGGAGCGGTAAAAAGCTAACTCGGACGACATACAAGCTGCACTTCACGCGCCCCCTTTGGTCCTGGCATCATGAAGCGTGATTATGTAGCTCGTCAAGTCCTGCGCGGAACAACTGGAGGAGCAGGCAAGCGGGTCGGGAAACCAAGTGGCCATCGCCCACTGTTATCCATTACGTGACTGACTACACCCATGAATGAGATCCGCTCCCAGCGCCCATCACTTTGCGTGCCGTAAGATCGCCGATGTGCCTCGCTCAAGAGAAAAGAGCATACATAGAGACCACCAGGGAGACAAAGAGGCAGCCGACCCCCAAGAGTACGAATATTAGCAATGCGCAAAGGGGTACAAACAGTACGATTGACCGGGCTAAATATCTCTTATGCGAGGCAGATGTCCTTTTCCGAACCAATCAATGTACTGCCCACGTAAGATCCAAACTCAAAATACGACGGGAGGTAGTCGTCTTTTACACAGGATATTTACTTCTTTGCATATTAGACTAATTACACAGGATATAACTTCTTTGCACCGAGGCGTTGCTCCAAAAAAGGCAGGTGGCATACACACTCACGTGGAAAGCGCTGCGCGTCCGGTTGCCTCTGACTCCGCCAACCCCCCTCTCAACGCGGCCTCGTCCGAGGTGGAATCAGCACCCTTGGTTGCCTTCTTCCCGTCAACCGGCCGCCAGACTGGAATGGATCCCCGGACGCATCCGTACTGGATCGCGAGAATCGCTCTTAGATAGTTCTTGAGGGATGCCTGCGAAGCAGCGACAAACGCGGTCATCAGACATACACCAAAACGTGTATCTTCCGCAGAGGGTGTTTCGGATTGCTGTTCGATTCGAGGGTCGACAAGTATCAAGAGTATAATAGACGTCCCTTTCGATTCCGTGTGAGCGCTCTGCCTGGCCCCGACCGTTCGCGCGAACGAACCACAACAACACAGCAAGCGGGCCACCCAACTACAACCCACGCGCTCTACAGGCTTCAGCAGTGCATACCATGCCCAAACCGAGCACGCCTCTTCAAGGTGCCCCCAAAAACGACAGACATCCCGCGCCGCCGAGAGCTCCCAAGCAACACACGACAGACCCAGCTGCAGGCACACGAAGAAGCGCAAAACACAAATCTTTTTCATCTGTGGAAGAGATGGATTTCTTGTGTGTTTTAAGAAAAAAAACAAATCAACAAAAGAAACACACACCTGCTGAAGAGAAGAGTCTCTCAGAAGCGCGAGCAGCTCGTCGGCTCCAACGACCTTCTCGGCCGTTATCCCCGACGGGTCCAGCAGAGCCTTCCTCCGCCGACCTCGAGATTTTCTAAACGTCGGCCCGGGGTTGTACCGCAGCGGCGACGCCTTCGGTGCAGCACCTCCCCCCGCTTGTCGGTGCTGCGGTCGCCCCGGTGATGATGACTCTCCTGCTCTTCCAAACGGTACGGGTTTTCCGGGCGCCTCCGTCTGGGTGCCAGCCACCTTTACGGTATCCACATGACTTTCTCTTCGACCGGACCGTCCCGCCTTCTTCTCGCCCGGTCCGCCGCCAGAAGCGATCGATCTCAGGAAAGCTTCGGCGGAGGACCATGCCATCTCTAGCGCGTTCGACTTTGACCCCGATTTGGGTGGTGGGCTCTCGTCACGGGTTGGCCGGCCGTTTGGGGCAGAAGTTGGCGGTATCGTCGAGGTCTCTAATTGACCAGCTGCTCCGGGACTGTCATCCGATACGGACGACGACGGCGTGGTTTCCTTTGCCGCACTGCCGCCGACCTCTCCGACGCCACGCCGCGCGGCTTCAAGTAGACTATTACCCTTGCCGTCGCTTGCCTTGACAACCTCAAGATCGGACGCCTTGGTCGACTTTTGGTGAGGCTTGACGAAGTCGGAGCTCGCGAGGGTGAGGGAAGGGTTGCGGTTAAGGATAGTGCAGCCCGAGGGAAGGTCGTCGCCTCTTGGAGTATCTTCTTCATTCTTGGCGATTTCAGAAGCTGACATGAGGACGGGGCGGCTTCGACGAAGCTTGCCTGCTTCGATCATACCTTCTCGCCGACGGGGAGGGAGGGGGGTGGAGTACTCATGTTTTGCATGCCTTAAAGTATAGATCATTGACCATGCGTCATCCAGAGGACTGAGCATTGTTCCCACAAAACCGATTGCCACTCCTTCCACCTTACTTTGCCAAAGGTGTCTCAAAAATTGAATCCCTACCCAAAATGGTGGTGCAGGCGGGGGAAGGGGGTCTTCGAAGTTGCGCATGGCTGTATTCCTTCGACCAAAGACTCTCGTATCCCTGCAAATACGCATGGGGGTCTCTGTTGACCAGACGATGATTTTCCAAGCCCGAACCGTCGTAAGTTGCGTTCCCAGAACCAACTGCCATTAGGCGGACGGGGGGGACGTTGTGCTTGCTTTTCTTGCACGGGTGACAGCTTCGCATGAGATGATACACGACCGTTTTCGGGACGGGCGGAGGGAGGTCCGTGAGGGTGATCATGCAGGCTCGTCAGCCCCGTTTGGCCGAAGCATGCCCTCAAGGAAACGTGTCTGGAAGAAAAGAGAAAAACGCGTTCTGTTCCTCATACATTCACCAACCTTGCCGGCTTTAGGGCACACCACGACTGAAGGAGCACCCAGAAGGGCGAATCTGAAACACGGCAATCGATGATTGGGATATGCGCCTTTCTCAAGTGCGCACCGTGAAAAGCCAGGCGGTGGGTTCCTGCAAATCCCGGGTAGTCGTTGAGCGTTCGCCCGATGGCATCAGGCGAAACCTCGACGTATTCGGTGGGCATTTCGAGCAGAAACCTGCGTTTTCCGTCCGACACACAACACGCAAGGTACACGAGAGGATTCCGATTTAGGGGTCCACCGCTGGTCAACTACGTCGTGTCCGCCACGGCCCGGTTGCATCGGATTGGGCACCATGTTTTCGGTGGAGCTACGCTCTACTACACAGCAGGACACGCGGGTTGTGTGTGTAGCACAGCTACCGTCGGTGCCATTTTTCACTGAATTTCAAGCTTGTTGAGAAACTTCTTGAGGACGTTCTAGTACCTGGATGGCCCAGCGGAATCTATCCAGGCGTCGTTGAAGCGGCGTTTCTTGCTAAAGGTGATTATCACGTTCTCGCTGGCTCGGGTCAGCGCGACGTACCCAAGCCTTCGCTCCTCTTGCACACGCTCCAGGCTGGACATACGCCAAGAAGAAAAACAGTTCGTTTCGGGAGGGAATAAGGTATTTAGTCGTTCTTCACTGGACGGTTAGAGCCTCAGATAGGAGACAGTCACAAGAAGGTGTGGCGCAAAGTCTAGGAGGCGATGGGATGGAGCACGCGGGAAGACGCAAGAAATATTCAACAAAAACACAGAGAAAGAGTTTAAAGGCGAATGTTACCTCTCGACGGCATGCTCTCCATCTCCTGAGTTTGGTAGAAGCGGGAAGCTTCCCTCGTCCCAGCCTTGACGAGGAAAAAACGAACGAGATAAGACGAACGAGACAAGACAAGCGAGTTAAGACAGCGAGATAAGACGCTAGAGACAACACTAACCTAGACAAGATGACCGAGATAAGACAAGCGACAGAGGATTGGGAGTTGACAACGTGTTCAACCGTGACTGGTTTCAGTGTCTAGCAGCTAGCCTCGTGATTGGTGCTTGTGCCGTGGTGAAAGAGAAGATAAGATGATGCCGTTTTTCTCTCTCGATGACTTCTCGTCGCGATTTCCGTTCACAAAAAAATATCGAAAAGGCTGCACGCATCTCCCACCGTGCAAAAACACCCGCAGCAGGAGAGGGGCACCGCTATTTATGGTTCCGAATGGATTTGATGCACCGACACACGGCAGTCATTGCAGCTAGCTGGCCCAATATCAATCAAGGGTCTCTTGATCCATGCTGCACCACTGTGTCGACAAATAACGCTCATACATACGCCATTGACCAACTTGGCAGGACCATGCCAGCGGAAAACACACAATGCTGCGATCTTTCCAAGTCAAAATCAAAGCATTGGACTTCCGGCGACTATAAGAGTTGCACCCACGACTAACCTTTTAGAACCCGACATCAAACCATGATCTCGGCTTCTAAAACCTCCAGAGTTCCAAAACAAAGCATATAATATCTCCTCCGACAGTCAGTCAGCCAGTCACCTGTGAGAAACACCACCTTGAACTCGCGGCCCTTCGCCTGGTGCATGGTCATCATCTGGGCGACAAATAGAGCGTAGCACAAGAGCCACCGGCGAGTGTCAGGGACAAAGAGATCGCAAGGAAGGTTGGCGATTGGTCTGCCCGTCTCGTTACGCGCGAGCCGCAACTCAAGAAACAGCGGGGAGCGCCCAGGCACACGGAAAAGCAGGATGTTCACGGGGCAACGGTCGCTACATGTAGTAGTACCATACCATACCGTACAGCAACAGTGCAGTGTAGGTGATCGTCGAAAAAACATGGCTTGTGCTCCTGTGCTTGGAAACTGACACATAGGTTTCCAGTCGGACGGTGGTAATTATTCCGGTTTTCCGTGTATGGTATTCCAAGAAACTACGGCCCCTTTCCCCATCTCATACCTCGAGGGCGTCTTCAGAAGACGGTGTGGTGCTCTGCTTGTCTTTATTCCCGGTGGTGCCTTCCCACCTCCCCCCCCGCCCCCTCCCTTCACCACCCTTCCTCGCAGCCTTCTTGTTGGCGGTCTCCTCTCTTTTGGGCGCACACACACAGCGAGGGTACAAAAACACAGGTGTCAGATACAGGGGAAAACCTACGTCGTTTTCCCTTCCCCGATCAGAAAAACACCCCGTGGTATGGACGTCCGCTGATCTCCCGTTGAGATACGCATAGATCACCTGGAAATTAACATGTTCAGCGTGATAGCATGAGCGTGCGGACGGGGCGAGTTATCGACCATGGGATGCTTGGCGCGTCCTCCAGCATGTCACACATGGTCGTGTGACCCGCTGCGCAAGTTAAGTGTCGAAAGTCGTCTTACCTAGCCCTCGCTGCCCTCAGCAGGAACCGTCCAATGTGGTCGCACCTCGAAGCCGCCGTCGCCAGCTTGCCGATCGACTCCTGGTCCTATATATACCGAGAATATATCACACAAAAAGAAGCACTCACCGAAAGAGGTACACAAATGTAATGCACGCAACAAATAAAACGGCCGTCTTATCCCCTGTAGACGTGGCCGAAGAGCCAACCACGCGGAGGCAGGAAACCCGGCCACGCTCTCTCCACACAACTAATCTCTCTCGCCTGCATCAGACACGACTGAAGATAGAGGCGAACCCTCAAAAGTGAAGCGCGTTGCTTGTCCATTAGCAAGCAGCCAGCAGCTCGATTAATACCGTATACGACACAAGATAACACACCCACATAAGATGAGACACCCCCCCGAAGGAATAAAACGCCCGGTTACATTTTTTCAAAAGCCAAAATGTTATCCCCGGGGTGTGTTATCTAGTGTCGTATACGGTACCTTGGTCATTCTCGAGCCGCCCACGGGGCCCCTTCGTCCTCCCCGGTGGGAGGCGAAGGAGGCATCCACCGGACGAGGGAGAAACCCTGCCTCCCAGAAAATTCGCCAGACGGCAGCTCCCCGCTCGGCGTCGTGCAGCCTTTGCCACCCCATCAACAGGGAGGCCCACCTGCATAAAGCGGACAGAGGCCGGTAAGAAATTAAAGTGTGCGTCGTTTTTCGCCTGACCTCGTTCGAACGTACGGTTTCTATGTAGCAGTTTGATCTCGGACGCTTTAGCAACAGGCGGATACATGTTGCAAAAGAGGCTTCCAAGCTGTGCTTTGCACACTTCCTCGAGCACATCGAGCACGAACGTGCACACTTGTTCGAGCACATCATGTTGCGGGAGATCAACTTCAATCGCCGTAGAGAAGGGTGGGTGCGTACGGCGGGAGAGGGCCACGACAACAACCGCGAATGCGGCGTTATTCCAAAAAACAAAGACGTTGGTACACCGCGCGCCGTCGTGCCCACTCTGCGGCCAACATAACGCCCACCCTTCGCCATGTCTTGAGGCAAAACATCTGCTGGTACGGAACCGTATCAGACCGCCTCGTCGGCCCCCCGGCTCAACTGCGCGCCATTCAAGATAAAAGCTTGTTCTTTGTTCTTCGATCCCCGGCTAAGCTGCCCACCATCCAGAAGAGGAGCTTGTTCTGTTACTGTTGAAAACACATACATGCGCACCTTCTGAGACCGTAGATGAAGTTCGAAGAATCTTCTCCCTTCAAGAGCCCCCGGCTGACGGAAAGACGTACTCCTTCCGCATAGGAAACACCGTCCGCCACCGCTAGCTCCCCGACCCCCCGCATCGTTGATGGGGTCGCCCAGTCAAGCAGACGCGTCTTCGATCGGAGCGAAATGAAACGTCGAAACGCCTCATCATCCTGAGCAGCCGTGACAGGAGTATAGCCAAACACACACAAGCAGTCGGACAGCGTAAACAAAGTTGTTAGTGTAGAAGCGACAGCAGCAAGGGTGGTGGCTCGGTGGGAAGCAAGTCTTACGGATCAGGAGGCAACTAGACCACACCTGCATACAGTTACCTCGTGGCGTTACGTCTTAAATCAGTACCTTTATTAGATCATCGCACCTCTGTACATACAATCACCCCATCCATATAGCACAAGAAACGGCGTGGGCGAGGGCGCGCACGACAACAAGCTGTAATTTTTTTTAGAGCGTAACGACAGGCTGGGTGGCGGACATTTACCTGCGGGTTTGCGCAGAGAGCCAGCAGCGCCAACGGCGCCTGAACCTCGCCTCTGGAAAAAAACGACGATCCGCCTTCCACGGTGTACGGTACTCCTCTAGCGGCCAAGGCCTCCTCCAACTCCCTCGTGTTGTACGCCGTTCGAGCTATCACCGCCATGTCCTTGTAGCTGGAATGAAAAGACGGTCCGGAGTGCAGCAGGCGTGAGAGGATAATCTAACGATAAGAGGTTGGTGTAGACTATGCGGTGTATCCTCAAACCAGTTGGGGGAGGATCAACTGCTGTTGAAGAAGAGAGGTGCGGTTTGGTCAGGCAGCCCGTGGGTGCTACGTTTGCATCGTTGCCCGGCTTGAAAGATAAGATGCCGGACCGGTGCATGGGTCAGGGCCGCACACAACGTTGGAGATAAACTTCAAACCATACAAAGCACGCACAGGTGTCTTCGAGCGTAGAACGCCGCTGAGAATACCACAAACCTGATGCCTTGCTCCCGATTCATCTTGCTCGCCTCCAGCGCAACCCACTTTCCCTCCTCGCGGCTGTTCCACAGACCCTGCGCCCGCACAACCGCCCCTGAGAGACACAAAACGCAAAGCACGCCGACTGAGCAGAGGAAAGGCAAGGAGGGTGTTTCGCTAACAATACCTCTTCGTTGCCCGAAACAAAGTGCCGTGCAGTGCAAACGTGTTCCCTCTACACTTTTCTGCTCTGCGTTGGGCCTCCACGGCGCTGATCGCATCGCATACCCCCGCACGCACTTGCATGCCTCATGACACCACTCTCGCCCCCCCGCCCCTCCCCCGAAACAATTAGGCGAGGTGCACATATCGTCGAAGCCCAGTACACCGTGGCAACAGCAGTACCCAGCAAAACCCGCCCGGGTCTACAGCAGTGTAGAGTCACACCCTTACCGGGCGTGTGCTGCTTGGTCCTCATCCGTCGGTTGAGAAGGGGCACGAGCCCGCCGGCTCGCATGAGGCCCGTCGCGGACCGCAGCACGTGCACGGGTAGGCGGTGGGTCTCCGTCAAGGCGCACCTCACGGCCCCCGGAAAATCTTCCTCGAACCTGAGTGAGGACGAGGGGAAGAAGCGTAACGTTGAGAACGCGTGTGGGTGGGCTGGCAATAAATAAAAGTACCACCTTGGCTTCGATTCCGCATGAACGTGTAGTTCACTAAATAATACCAGGTAAACCTATTGAATAAAAATGGCAACCTGAACAACATAACCCTAAAAAGAAAAAATACGGTACACGATCTCAACCTGAGAAATACAACCATGTCCGGCGAGCTGCGAGCTATGATATGTGTGCGTTTCTGAACGCGGGAGAGAACGCACGGTTGCTGTGAGGCGGCGGGTGGGATGGGTGCCGTAAGCGTTGTGAAGCTTGAAAGTACTCGTCCGGCAATAGACTCCGGGCACCACAAACCAAGTACCGCGCTGTAGATAAACTCTCTTCACTTTCGTAGTAGGAAAACGAAGAGCCAAGAGACAGACGTGCCTGTGAAGATGATCCACCGTTGTGCCTCTCCACCCGTAGATGTGCTGGTCCTCGTCTCCCGCGCAAAACAGGCTCACACCCAGACCCTGGTGGTGCTCTAGCCCCTCACCCTTGCCGGTACCCGCGGCGTCGAAACATTCGCCGTCCTCCCCCTCGCTCATAGCGACCGCCGGATCTGGTGAAATGGAGGCAGGCGTTGCTGAGGAGGCACGCCGCTTCGAAGGAACGCCCGACACCAGCGCCTGGATGGTCGTTTCGATGATCAAACCATTGTAGGGAAGGAAAAAAGCACAGAACGACACATGATGATCGCCAAGGACGAGTGGCGAATCACACAGAGTTCGTCGAAACGGATACAAGGTGCTTGGTTTTTCCGCTCTACCCGCGGGGAGTAGACCAGCAAATACCAATGGTTAATGTTATACCATACCCTACCCTTTCACCCCTACGCTCCCACCGCCAGCCCTGAACGCTTCCACTCGCCACAAAAGTTATTGCTGTGAACATGTGGTGAGAACGGATTTCAGTCTGGTTCTGAAACCGTTATATTTGAGCTCAGAATATCTGCCAAGGTACATATTCTGAGTGTATAGTCGACTAGACCGAAACACGGCTGCAGGACATTCGACAGAGACCGACGTTCATGGTAGAGTGACGTGACGGCCCAAAGCAGTTATCACAGTCTATCATATAGCCAGTGATAGAAGTAAATACCACCATGGGTACAAGTCAGGCCGATCAAAGAGATGTTGCGTTGAAGTTTATCATGCAGATGACGTATGCATGAACACGTCTCCGTAACGAAATTTGGGTAGGACCGTCCGGAAGCTTTATTCTGATACACACACGTCCTCACTCTCACTGCTTACCCTCGGTTCTACTCATCCAGAGCTGATTGCACAACCACGTGGGCAACACAAGAAATAACTGTTGAGACGGAACACAACCAACCACGCTTGAACACAAGCACACAAACATCCAAGCGAGAGCCTTCTCGAGAAGACAAGAGTCAGAACCAGCTCTCTTCACAAAGACGCGTCCGCTTTCACAAACCTTGAGAAGGCGTTGCTGCGCGGGGCTAGTGTCTTGGTATTCGTCCACCAGCACGTGGCGAAAGCGCCACCGATACCTGAACCGAACCAATGGGTTGCGGTAGGAGGAAATTGGATTTGACGAGCGTGTAGACAAGTGTATACCATCATGTACACGCACAAGTTTGCCCCTTTTCAAATGTCTAGGAGCAGGAGGGGTTAATCTCTCTAGTGCATTTAAAGTCTTAGCACAGGTCTGTCTATCTATGGTCGGAGCGCGGTTTCCAGGCTTACCGCTCGAGAACCTCCGGATGTCGGGTGAAGAGCTCGGTCGCCATCAAACAGAGGTCTCCGAAGTCAACCTGTCGATGCCAACCGACACGGAACCAACATCGGAACCAACATCGGAACCGGCATCGAAACACAAAGCAAACAAGCGGCGAGGCGGTGTACACAACAAGCAAAGAGGATGGGCGAAAAGGAATCAGCAACGATGAAAAACATGACCCAACTCAAGAAAAATAACTGGCAGACGAATCACAGCATCTCGTCAGGCAGAGTACCTAGAGGGACACACACGAGAAACCAACGAAGCTTGTGCAACGTGACGTCTCCCTATAGCATCAGCTGGCATCACTGATATACTTCAGTGTAAAAGTGTAAACAGGAAAAAAAACAGCATCCAGCCGTTTCTTCCCATTCACTCACTGCGAGGCCGTCCACACATCCCCTTTGACTGAGGTACTATCCTTTTGTCTAAAAAAATAGCGCCCGTGTGTAGGTAGGTTGCATGTGCACGTTGACACAAACAACGGCTGTGGCAACACAGGTCGTGTTTGCACCCAATGCACAATTGACCCACTCTTCGACGAGCTAAATACAACACATGTGGCCACTTGAAGCGCGGCACGCAAGGCTGCGTACGTCGCGGGTGGTTGGTGGTCCGAAAGCTCAAAACCAGCGTGGGCCCCTTCGAGAGGCAGCACTGCTGGACATACCTGGCGTCGCCTGCGGAGGTGCTGCTGGTACGAGGGGTACACAGCAGCAGCTGCTGCATCCGTGTAGTCGTCCGCTTCCATCTGAGCGGTGTAAGCGCGGTGGAGGTGGTGCGTGTGGGGGGGGGGGGGGGGGGGG